GGCCGGGCCGCCCGGGACCTGTGGCTGCTGCCCGGTCTCCCGCCCGTCGCCTCTTCCCTCGGGGGCGTCTTGCGTCCCAGGGCGCGGGCGGCGTGGTACACGGGTCGGACGGTCAGCCCGCCGAGGGGCGCAGCGTCGGGGGTGGAGCTACCCGGGGCTGAGGGCCCGGGGCCGTGCCTGGAGCAGACTGCCGGGGGCCGGAGGGACAAGCGCGTGGAGAGCCCGCGGTACTGGTCGTGGGCCTTTGTGCACCGCTTTTCTGACGGGGCGGGGAAGGAGTGGAACTCGCGGAAGGGGTCGCCCCGGAGTGAGCTCCGCAGCGCAGGGGTGGAAGCTGCCCCCGCTCAAAAGAGCAAGTGCAAAGAATGTGTGAGGCATGCAGAGGTAGGAGGAGACTGCTCCGTGCAGGGGGCAGCTGACACGTGTTCGGGGAAGCTGGGAGGGCCCAGGGTGGCCCCCAGTGCGGTCACCACGCGGTCACCACGCGTTAGGAGGGGCAGAGGTCAGGTTGGGGTGCAGGTGTCTGGGGCCAGGTTTTGGAATGGGGCGCCTGCCCGGTCCTGAAGTGGCCGGTTTGGAGGATTGGGGGGGGCAACATGCCCAGTGTCCACGCTTCCAGGGCAAGACTGGTGAGGAGGTAGATGCGGTTTACTCATCAGATTGTACACAAACCTGTATTCTTCGAGAAACCTGGGGCACTTCACTCAGCCTGGTGGGTTTGGTCAGGTGTGGTCAGGGAGACCGTGGGCCTGGTTGTTGGCGGAGAGTGGGACTTGGCTTTTTCGGATAGGTGGACATGCGATTCACGTCCGCTAAGGCGGTAGCAAGTGCATCTCAGCAGTAGGGTTGGGCTGGGGGACTCGAGGTCCACGTGCCGTGGACTGGATCAGAGCTGTGCAGGGGGGCCTTCATGACTCAGGTGACACTGCGCTTGGGGTCGTGGGAAGCCTGTGCTCATTTGGGGTCCTGTTGAGCTTACTGTGCACACCATGGATGCTGTGAACTGACGTGTGGAGAAAGGTCTAGACTCTGGGCCTCCCTGGGGCGCTCTGTGAACTGTGGAGCTGTCCGCAGCCACTGCAGCGCAAGTGTGAGCCCAGCCAGGGAGTGACCCCCAGGGCAACGGACCCCTCCTATCTCCCCACTGCTCCCATCAGCAGTGGATCTGCCTGTTCTGCCCCCCACTCTGCCTCTGGGGTGTCCTTTCACCCCCGCACCTCTGGCCAGTACCCCTGTTCTTGTAGCATAGATAAATGCATCTTTAATAAAGTGAACCTCACACGATGGGCTGCCGTCTCGTTTGCTGAAACCAGGGCGCCCCGCTGGCTGAGTACAAGTTCTCATGGTGTTTCCAGAGCGTCGGCCTCTCCCTTCCTTTGCAGTCCTTGCTCACGGCGAACCAGGGGCAGTTCCTGCTGATTCCGTGTAGCCGGTCACAGTCCCCTTCTCCGGACCGATTTCCAGAGAAGCGAGTTGCATCTCGTGGGAGCGGGCATCCTGTCCTCCTGCTCTCACAGGACTGGCATCTCACTGCCTTCCGGGTAGCACGTGAGCATTTTGGTGACTGGTGGCCTGTTCTCAGATGTTGATTTTGTGTGATCGTCACTGTCCTCCGTCCCACGTGTCTAGACTCGGGCATCCCAGCACGACGAGAGGGAGGGCTGCGGAGGAACTGCTTTAACTGCAGGTGACGTGGAGGGCAGGAAAGGGCCCGTGGTGTGGGGCCCTGCGCGCTTTGAGGCCTTGGCCATGGGGCTGAGCGTTGCAGATGGAGGCGTGCGCAGTTTACAGTGAGGTCTGCGTGGGGAGTGGGGGCGCCCCACGGTGCTGAGAGCAGCGTGAATACCCAGACGGTGGCCTAAGCGGGGTGGATCCCGGCCTCGGCGTGTAGGCGGCCCGGGCGTAGCTCTCCGTTCCATGTCTGTCTGCCTCTGGGTGCTGGAGGTTGGACGCAGGATTCAGGGGCCTCAGTGGTACCAGGTACCTGAGAGGGAGTCTCAGGAGACGTGTGGTGGTAGGGCAGGTCCAGGGGACGGGGATGATGGCTCTCGCGCAGCAGACTGTCTGGCCTCGTCCGTCACCATTGTAGCAGGGCAGCGTGCCCTTAGAGGACGTTTGTGATCTTTCTTGAGGAGGCGCACAGGCCTGCGCTGATGTGGAGGACACATGCTGGAGAACGTGGCGCTCAAAGCCTCCGTGGGTTAGGCTTGGCAGCCTTTCCCCAAGGCCTGAGCTGGTTCTGGCCCTCTCCTCCCCAGAAGCAAGCCAGTCATCCTGCTCGTGGCAGGGCCGCAGGTCTGGTGTCCAGCTTCCGGCCGGGTGTGGTGCTTCTTGGGTAGGGGCTGCGCCCTCTCCTCTCCCCAAGTCACCCCAAAGCCTGACAAAACTAGGTGACGTTGTCCAAACCCCAGCGTCATTGTTTTCCTGGAGCCCCCTGATGCCCAGCTCAGGGGGCCTGAGGGTGCCACGGATCCCTGTGCCAGCCTGTGGGCCAGCGCTGTCCCCCGCCCCATTCTCCTGTCCTCTCCCACAGGAGAGTTGCTGGAGAGCTGTTTGGATGTAGGCATCGATCCGAATACTTCAGCTGAGAAAATTCCAGACCGGTACATGTTGTCATGATTCTCCTTCCTGTTCCATCTGTCACTGTCACAGCAGGGCGGCGTGACCTTTAAGGACGTGGCCGTGCACTTCTCCTGGGAGGAGTGGGGGCTCCTCAGTGAGGCGCAGCGGCGTCTCTACCGGGACGTGATGCTGGAGAACCTGGCGCTCGTGGCCTCGCTGGGTGAGTCCTCAGAATCTCCCGCCCCTGAACTAGCATCTGTCCTTTCGATTTCCCTGGAAGTAAGTGTCCTCAGGTCAGCACCGTGAGCACCCTCCACCCCCGTCCCTGAGCAGGTGCTGACGGCTCCTTTTCTACGCTTGCTCATAGCTGCTTTCCTGCAGCCTCCTAGGGGGATCCCGGCCAAGAGCCCTCCATCCAGCCCCACAGCGCACCTCACGCCGCTTCCCTGCCTGGGAGTCACTGCCCCACGCTGGCCTCTTGCCCCGGGTTCTTGCTCCTGACTCCCTCTCCCACCCACCTGCGCAGGGGGTCATTTCTGATGTCCCCGCGAGCTTTTCGTGCAGGTCCCTCTCCCGTGCCCTAATGGCCCAGCGTCGCCCCCTGAGGCTGTAAGGGGCTCCTGCAAGGGCCAGGCTCACGTCTGCATGTGGGCTGCCTGCCCCTCCCGCTCCCGCGGGCACTTCACCAGCGTTTCTCGCTTTCAGGTTGTTGCCCAGAAGCGGACGGTGAGGAGGCTCCTCTGGTGCGGAGTGTGCCGCAGGTCTGGACTCCCGAGCAGGCATGTCTGTCTGCTAAGTCCCTTCCCTGGGAAATGGGTGGCCTGAGGCTGAGCCGCGTTTTGTCCTTGGTGGAGCACCAGAGAACAAGTTGTAAGCAGAAACTTCTCTGCTGTTGGGCCTGTGGGAAGCAGCTGTATGTCAGCACAGAGCTTCCCCAGAAGCAGCGCCCTGAGGAGGAAGCCTTCCGAGGCAGAGCAGCTGGAGCGTCGTTGGGGAGGAGCCACGCATGCCTCGAAGAGGGAACGCCATGTAGCCTTGGTGTGGGTGGGAAGGATGTTCTGGCCAGGTCGGAGTTGGGCCAGCCGCAGGACAGTCATGCTCGGGAGAAGGTGAGCGGTGGGACTGCGTGTGGGCCGGCCTTTGCCACAGAAATGACAATTAGTAGCTGGGAGGAATCCGTGAAAGCCTTCAGCTGTGATCAGACGCTTGCTCAGCACCTGAGGCTCCTCGGCAGTGAACACTGTTTTATGTGCAGCGAGTGTGAGGACTCCCTTGGCAGGGACGGCCGCCTCGGTCACTATCAGAAAGTCCTCACCGGAGACAAACCTTTTGTAGCTGAAGAATGTGGGATGTTACTCAAAAAGACCAGTGCTGTGGAACACCGGAGGGGAAACACCAGAGAAAGACCTTACACTTGTGTGGAGTGTGGGAAGTCGTTTACCAGGAGCTCCAACCTCATGACACATCAAAGAGTGCACACCGGGGAAAGGCCTTACGACTGTGGGGAGTGTGGGAAGTCGTTTAGCCGGAAGTCCAACCTCATCGTACACCACCGGGTGCACACCAGAGAAAAGCCGTATGAGTGCAGCGAGTGTGGAAAAGCATTTTGCCAGCGCTCCACTCTAATTCAGCACTGCAGAATTCACACTGGAGAGAGGCCTTACGATTGCAGCGAATGTGGAAAGTCTTTTACTCGATACTCTGCGTTCCGTCAGCATCAGAGGCGTCACACTGGATTAAGGCCTTATGAGTGTACTGAATGTGGCAAGTCCTTTGCTGAAAACTCCAGGCTCATCAAGCACACGAGGATCCACACTGGAGATAGACCGTACGAGTGCAGTGAGTGTGGCAGAAGCTTTTGCCAGAGATCTTCGCTCCTTCGGCATCAGACAGTTCACACTGGAGAAAGGCCTTATAAGTGTGGTGTTTGTGGGAAGTCCTTTGGACAGAAACCCAACCTCATTCAGCACTGGACTGTTCATAGTACAGAAAGACCCTTTAAATGTGGAGAATGTGGGAAATCCTTTAGGCGGAAGTCTGAGCTCTTCGAACACCGTAAAGTACACACTGGAGAAAAACCGTATGAGTGTGGAGAGTGCGGGAAGTCATTTAGCCAGAAGTCCAATCTCAACATACACCAGATAGTTCACACCAGGGAAAGACCCTATAAGTGCAGCGAATGTGGGAAATCGTTCAGCCAGAACTCTACACTTGTAAAACACCGGAGAATCCACACCGGCGAGAGGCCTTATGAGTGCAGTGAATGCGGGAAAACTTTTAACCAGAGTTCTGCCCTTCGCCAGCATCAGCGGCGCCACTCTGGAATAAGGCCTCACGCGTGTGCGGAATGTGGGAAGTCCTTTGCTGAGAACTCCAGACTCATCAAACACAGAAGAGTCCACACTGGAGAACGGCCTTATGAGTGTGGTGAATGTGGGAAGTCCTTTGCTGATAACTCAAACTTCATCCTCCACAGGCGCGTGCACACTGGAGAGAGGCCTTACGAATGCAGCGAATGTGGGAAAGCCTTTAACCAAAGCTCTGCGCTCCTTCAGCATCAGAGAGTTCACAGTGGAGAACGCCCACATAAGTGTGGTAAATGTGGGAAATCCTTTGCCAAAAAGTCCAGTCTCAATAAACACAGGAGCATTCACGCCGTTGAAAGCCCTTAAAAGTTTGGCACATGCCGAATATCCTTTGCTCACCACTCCAGTCTCCTCACAGACCATCGTGCTCACGGTAGATGATGACAGATGCTGGAAATCCAAGGGTTGGACCTGTGGCCTCAGGCACTGGGGAATTAAAATGCACTGAATGTGAGAAGGGCTGAGGCTTGGCTCCCTGGCTCCACAGCCATCGCAGGCCGCACGTGGGGTGTTTTGTCTGCTGGTCAGTAGAACAGCCCTGGGGAGACTCCTGATGAAGATAGGACCTTCCTGGAATGAGCTTCACATGCCGGCGAGCCCCTCCTTGGGCGCTGTGTTGCCCCTGTGACTCACCCAGGCCCTCACCAGGTGATGCCACTGCCAGTTCTGTTGCAAAAGCCATTTTCCCTCTCTCTCAGGAGGTGCTCTTGGGCGCAGAGTGTCCAGCAAAGCAAGCTGCACTGTTTTCCCACTTGAAGGAGGCATTTTAAGAAGTCTCCGTGCTCGTCCCTTTTTGTGTAGTATTCTCTTGTGAGTCAGGGCACAGACCTGATCAGTTCTAGGCTCAAACAGCTATGCGCCTGACAACACCAACTACCTTTTCTAGGGAGACTGTTGTTCGCACCCGTCCTGTGAATTTCCCAGCCCTTTAATCCTCCACCTCTGGGAACAGTCAGTCTCCCATTGTGCTAGTTTGTATGGGAAAATTTAAGCTATTTTATGCTAAAGCTGTCACCACTGTGATAGTTTGAAAACAGCTGCTTCTTCTGAGTGAAGCTGTGAAGAACTTGTTTCTGAGCTCCCAGACTTTGGCTCAGAGGGGACAGTGTGAGCGCAAAACAGGTCTCCGGCTTTGACTCAGTTTACATTGCTGGCCACAGTCTCCAAGGCTGTGGGATTTGTGATCGTGTTTGCAGCCTGGAAGCCACAGTTTGGAGGCGGACAGATGTGTCCAAGGAAGGGTCAGATGCGACAACCTTCACTGCTTTTGAGAGCAACAAGAGATCCTTTTTCACCTGTAGTGTTGCACTAGCTCAGTCAGCATGGGTGAGGGAGGCGTGGCCCAGGGCCAAGCTATGGGCCTGTGTGTCCCGATGTGCACAGTTCACAGGTTTGCGTCGCAGATGTTGTGGTTGTACGAGCAGGGAACCATAGTTGTCAAAAAGCTGACTTTGAAGGAAGGGAACAGACTGCCACAGCTTGGTGGACTGATCCTCTCTGAAAGGTGCATGTGGCTCTGAAGGATGAGCAAGTTCACAAATACGTGTGTGTGTGTGTGTGTGTGTGTGTGTG